AAACTCATATAGAAATAAACCTGTTAGTCTTTAAAGCAGCACAATGCTTTTGTTTTCATACTTGTTACTAATTATCGGCTACTCTTTAGTTGTTAAATTTTTTGGTTTATTTTTTCTTTCTTGGTTGGCATGGAGTGGCAGGCTTCCCCCCTCCCCGAGGGGGACTTTTTAACATCAGAGTGATTTCTGGCAGAGGGAGATATGGTGTAGGTGCTGTTGCCATTTGTTCCAGAAAAATGATGAACAGAAGCTTGAAATCTGTTCACTGTTCTTGCACTGTGACCTCCTGCCAGACTTGAGGTAGTCACAGGTACCGGCCCTCCACTCTAAACCTGCTGTTGCTGAATGCCAGATCTGTATCAAATAAGTCCCAGGTTATACAAGATCTGATTCTGGAGGAGGATACAGATCTGGCATGCATAATCGAAACATGGATGGGCAGGGAAGGTGGCATTCCCCTGACTCTTGCCTGCCCTCCCAGTTATGCAGTCCAACACCAGGGTAGACTGGAGGGGCAGACTGGGGGAGTAGCCATTGTCTACAAAAACTCCCTTCAGGTTGCTAGGCGCTGTGCTCTGGTGACACCGGGTCTAGAGGCCCTCCACGTGTTGATTGGGGCCAGGGATGGTATAGGGATCTTGCTGGGTTACCACGCTCCCCGCGACCCAGCCATTTCCTTAGTCTCTGTGGTACTGTTGGGGTCCCCAAGGCTTTAGGTCTTGGGTGACTTCAACGTGCATGCAGAGGTGGAGGTTTCCGATCCAACTCTTGACCTTCTTGGACATGTCCCAACATGTCAATCGCCCTACCCACATGGGTGGCCACGCGCTGGACCTGGAGTTTTCCACTGAGCAGAGTGAGTGTGCTCCGATAGCGACTGACCTAGTGTCTGTCCCCTTGTCATGGTTGAACCATTGCCTAATTAAATGCAATCTCATAGTGGCTTTCCCTCCCCGTGGGGAGCAAGTACCTGTTTTAATGGTTTGCCCTCAAAGGTTATTGAGTCCTATAGGATTCCAGGATACCATGAGAGGGATTCCGGCCAATTTGACTGGCGCTCCTGTCAAGGCTCTGGTTGATTGCTGGCTGGCTGCTACCACAAGGATAGTTGGCATGATCGCACCTAAATGGCCTCTCCGGAGCAGAATTGCCCTTCTCTCTGGTTTAATCCAGAGCTGCAATCAATGAAGTGAAATAGGAGAAGTCTAGAGCACATATGGAGGCAGAACCTGACGGAAAATAATCAAATAGCTGTCAGGATCACTATCTTCTTCTTCTTCTTCTTCTTCTTCTTCTTCTTCTTCTTCTTCTTCTTCTTATTCTTATTCTTATTATTCTTCAGCTTTTACCCCGCCCATCTAGATTCATGCGAATCTACTCTGGGCAGCTTACAGTCCAAGCAAGATAAAACAAGTATTAAAACAGACAA